CTCTGCGCCTGCCTGCCCGGCCCCATCGCCCGCAGGTGAGCGCCGGCCCGGGGAGCTCGGTTATCAAGCCCGGGAGGGGGGGGGCTCGCGCCCAGGTGCTCCGGGGTGGCCGCCGCGCCCCGCCGCTGCTCGGTCCCCGCGGCGCGGAGGACAGGCTTTGTGCGAGGCGGGGGGTGGCCCCAGCTCGCTGGAGCCGGGAGGAGCCGGGCAGGGGAGCGGCAGAGGCCAGAGCCTCAGGAAAGTTTCCGGGAAGGGCTAGATGGGCTCTACCTGCTTTGGGCAGAGCCAGGCCAGCGGAGCGCGGGGAGATCCCGGGAGTGCGGCGCGGCGCCGTGCCGGGCACCCCCAGGGCAGGGAGCCCGGGATCTGCTGCCTGTCAGGGAGCCGGGGGGCACCGCCACGCCCAGATGGCTCTCCAGGGGCCTGTCTCGGACCCCCTGGGATCCTTCCGGCGCCTCCCGAATTGGTTTCCTGTAACCTCTCCCTGTAAACAGCGGTTTATTTGCCTAAAGCTTTGGGCTGGGCGTGTGCGTGCCAGCAGGTGGGTGTGGATCCGTGCCCAGCAAACCGCGCTCTCCCTCTTCCCTTGTGTCGGCAGCGGACACACCTGCGTGCTCCCGTAGGTGTTCCTGATTCTGGCAGGGGCAGACTTGGGCCTGAGCTGATCCAGGCTTTGTTATGATGTGCCGCGGCTCCTGCTGCGCCCACCCTCGTTGTTTTCCGCCCAGTGCTGGGGATCTGGTGCGTGTTAAGACGTGCGTGTCCACAGCGGTGCTCAAAAGCGGGTCAGGACTCCGTTGCCTCGCCCCTGGCAGCTGAGGAGTTAAACGGGCAACGAGAAGTGGGGGTGAAAATCCCTGTGATCCCAGGCCCCTCTGCAACAAGCGATCCTGGTCACCTAAAGGGTTTGGGATGCAAAGCAGAAAAAGGAATTCCAGGGGGAAAATCCAGCCACAGGAATTCCCCTTAATTCGAAGCTGCTGTTGTGCCCTTAATAGCAGTTAATCACAGGTCCGTTGATTTTGGGAGGATAATTTACATTAGTGGAGAGCGTGCAGGGAGCCAGGAACGACTTGGAATAGGTCCCCGCATATTTCTGTGATTATTTTTGGAATCTCATCATATGGTAGGAGGTAGGCTTTGGTGGTATAATAAAGCTCAGCATTTGCTTAATTGGCCAATTCCACGGGAGGCTGTGCAAAGGTATGGGACCCCACGTGCCCCCTTCCTTGAACTTAAGTGTGATTGCAAAATGGATTATTTCCCTTTGGGGCTCCGCCATGGCATTACTCGCCTCTTGCGTTGCTAGTGATCTCCCTCGCATATCACACCCTGGGCTCTTCTCCGAACAAAGAAAAGACTGAACAGGAAGACTGAATGTGCTGTTCGACAGATCCACTAAATCTGGGAAGGGAGAGATGGCAAGGTCCTAGTCTGAAATGCCCTCAGAGGTGTGGCTTTCCTTGCTTCCCTGGGGACGTCCTTTCAAGTTCCAATTGATTTTGCTGTCATGAAGTTTTCCCTGGCCTGTGGCATAAACGGTCCTTTCCTTTTTTTCTTCGCTCTCTCCCATTGGGCTTGTTTGATATTTTTCTTCTGAGCTATACAGATAAAGTAACCATATTACTGCTCCCAGTTATGTCCCGCTGGGCCATCCAGAATAATTCCTCTTCCAGGTAGTCCTTTACCTTCTGTTGTAAGGAAGCTCTGAGAGAGGGTGTTTCCCAGCCTGCTCTCTATCCACAAGCCTCATCCCCTCCCCCCACTGGTGATGATGCTTATAGGCTGGATTGAACACACAGACCTGTTTCTTTGTGCTTTACCTTGCTGCAGCCCACTGGAGACCTCTGTACCCATCAGACCACATTTGCTCTTGTAGCCTGGGCTGTAGGCAGCCCATATTGCAACTGTGCCAGCAGGGAGTTGCTTTCGCAGCTTTGTTTGCTATCCCTTTGTCTCCTTCAAACAAGTTAAGGTTTAGCAATGCGATCTGGGGAGAGGCTGCAAGACAGCCAGCATGGGGGAATTTCTCTCTACTCGGAAGGCATTATTGCAGCTTCAATCTCTTGGGTTGCTGGACTGGAGCCTATTGTTTGTTTACGTAGGCAACTCCTTGGTATTGGAGCCCATACTTTTGAATTGGACCCATGCTTTGCAGACTCCACTGAATGCTGCCTTCAGCCCTGGCAGGAGGAACAGGGATTGCACTGAGCTGTTGGTGCCAGCTATTGATTGTCAGGGCGTACACCAGATCTACAACTGACATTCCTATGCCCAGAGCCACCACCCCTCCCTCTCTCCCCTGCGTACACACACGCATGCGCACTCACGCCCGCATGCACGGGACTGCCACATGCTGGGTATCACAGGATCTTGTGCATGGCCTGGCTCTGATTCTAGTCCCCATGGGCATACAGGCTGCATGCAGCATTACAAACACCTCCTCCCTTATCTCCCCCTCAGCTAGGCCACTTATCTTTGTGCCTAGCACACACTTCCCCTGTGTCCCCTTGGCACTGGAGTCCTCAATGGTTGCGAAGTATTTATGTCTCTTCTATTTACAATCAGTGTGTTGTGTTTATTGCTTTAACAGCAACTTCAGGTGGTAATGGAGGCATTAAATCAGACATTCCTATAAACAGTGAAGCTCTGCTTCTGATCATTAGGAGTGTGCTGGGAGCACATACATCTCGGGAAGCTAGTCTGACATGGCTCCTCTGCAGGCTCTGTATGCTGTCAGGCTTGTTGGGGAGAATGGATGGCACGCTTGGCCTTGGTGGAGGTCCAAGTGATGCTGTCTCTTGGCATGTCATTTGGATGATGATGATGATACTATAGCTGGAGCCAGCCAGAAACTTCTGGTCAAACCTGTTTATTACTGGTTGGAAAAATGCTGATTTGGCCACACCAACGCATTTTGGGTGAACGATCTGGGGTGTGAGGACACTTCTAGGAAAGGTTTCTCAGAGCCAGGAAGGCATTTTTGGTTCAGATGGGCAAGAGAGAGTGACCCAGTAGCTTGGTGGCCAGGGTAGTGACCTGGCTGGTGGAGGACGAAGGTTCCAATCCTTCTTCCACCTGATTGAGACAAATACCTTGTATATTGGACTCCCCCATCCTGACGCTGCTGCCTGACCACAAGAATAGGGGCCATCTTGGGGATGAGTGTCATTTCACTGTTTGCTTTTTTTTCCTTTTTTTTTTTGGCGGGGGGGATATTTAAGTGGTCTTGTCCTGCTGTAGAATGGGAAAACTTGAGATCGTGAAAACTTTCACAGGGCTGGAAGGCTGTGTCCCCTCTGGCCTGAGTGCCCAGTTAAGGGAAAAATCTGTTTCTTTCTGTGGTAATAGCCTTTATATCCTGGGGCTGAGAAATTAGTAACAATAAGGATTATCTAGTCACCTGGAAATTAAAACGCTACTCTTGTCTTCCCAAACGCTCTTTATCTTGCTGTACTGCTGCCAAAAGGTTTTGGCCTATCAGAGGGAGATTTTTCAAGGTGCACAGGACTGTTAAGTTCCTGACGGTTGATTGCACCTTTGAAAATCTTCCTCTGCAAACTAATTATTGGGAAGATAGTGAGGATGGCCTTTGTGTTAGAGTTCTCAGAAGAGGGGAGACTGTTCAATTTCCAGTTCTGCTACAGCCTTCCTGTGAGAGCCAAGGCAAGTCACTTAATCGTTGTATGAATTGGTTTCTGCATTTGTAAAATCATGTAATATTTCCCCATCTCCCAGAGGTGTTGTGAAGACAGTCTCCTTGTCTGAGGGTCTTGGATGGTAGTAAAGCAGGACATGAAGAGTTTGGCTGGAAATAGTGTCGTTTTAAATGGGAGTTTCAGTTTTAAGGCAAGAACTTAGTAAGGGTGGTATTGACCACTGCACATTAGATTCTGACATAGTGCCTGTCATGTTGAGCTCCACGCCTGCTCCAAAGTCAGCTGCATTGTTCTGAGAGCAGCAGCGAAAGCACAGAGACGTGAAGCCCCGCTGTATCAGAGGCGCCCGCGTGAGTACACACATACATGCAATTATAAATACACTGTTCTAACACAGCGTCTAAAAATGCGCTCGCATTGACAGTGTGACAGCTTTGGCTGAGCAGCCCATTGTTCTCATTAAAGCAGTCAGATGTCTTTCTGAGTCAGCGGGTTTTCATTGTAGTCATGGTGGAAAAAAGAAGCATCGGATTTTTTTTGTTGGAGTGGGGGGGAATCCTGCATGTCTGCAGTGCTAGGAAGCAGTGGCAAGGCATGTCATCCTATGAATGTGCTGGCACTTAGGGAGGGGTTGGTGAAAGTCGCCCCAGTGGGAATAGGAGGGGAGAGCAGGTGATTCCACCTCTGTAATGAAGCCCTAGTGTTCTACAGTCCTGATCCACAGCACCAGTCACTGCTGCTTTAATCCTGAGTTAGAAACTGCTGTGTTGCCGGAGACCTGAATGCAGGAGTATAAAGGTAAAAGGGGGGCTGAAGAGCTGGCTCAGCCTGGGTCACCACAGGGTTGGTCTCATCAGTGGAATATCTGTTTGGGCATGGAGTGTGCTCCCAGGGGCTCTTCTCCAGAGGGTTGGCAATGGATACCTTGTCTGAGAGCTAGATGCACCCAACTTTCAATCGTCCAATGGGAGCTAAACACTCCGAGACCACAAAAATGCCATGGAAGAGGAACATTTGGGCCAGGCTGTTGTCTCACTGGGCCCAGAGCCAAGTCATAGGGGCCTTATGCTAATCGAGGAGTGTGGTGACCAGTGAGGTGAGTACATGCCTGAGAGCCAGTAATGCTGGGGTGCTGAGGCTGAGTCAGGAGTGTTCTGTGCCTCAGTTTTCCACTTTATAAAATGGGGATAAGTATAGAGTGACCATAAGGAAATCTGGGACATTTGGGACAATGCCCCTCCCTTCCCCCTGCCCACTCGTCTCCGAAGACAGCAGTGCAGCTGTAGGCAGAGCTGGAAGCTGAGTGGCATGGTTCACTAGGCAGGCAGCAGTGGTGCCTGCCTACCCATCTTCCTGGTGCACTGCATACCTCTGCT